TGTTTATAATCACTATCCTTCAGTTGTCCGAATGCCATTTCATCTTCCCAGCGAGAATATTGTTGTCTCTAAGGATAATTCGTCTATGGAAGATGTTATCGAAAATGAGGGTTCTTCTCTATCAATGTCGTTGGCATGGATGGAAATCAATAATCTCTCTGAAGAGGCAGGCAATTACACGTATGCTGAATTCCCTCAATACTTTGTCTGGAATAAACAAGGCAAGATATGGCAGCGCCGAAAATCAAGGATGTGCATTGGGAGATTGTACTATTCCCACCCATCAAAAAAGGAAAGATTCTAATTGCGTATGCTGCTTCATGTTGTTAAGGGTTGTACTTCTTTTGAGGACATTAGAACTATTAATGGCGTTCTTCACAAATCTTTTCAAGAAGCATGCTATGCCTGTGGATTACTAGCAGAAGACAATGAGTGGAATGATTGTATTAATGAGGTATCGACTTGGGCATCTGGACATAAGCTTCGAGAGCTTTTTGTGACTATTCTTATTAATTGTCCAGTATCATATTGCAAAGCTTTTTGGGATAAAAATTGGACGTTGCTAAGTGATGATATACTTTATCATCGTCGAAAAGAATTGAAGATGCCTAATCTGCAGCTTAGTGATGACGAACTACAGGATTTTTGCTTAATGAAGATTGAGAAGTTGTTGCAAAGGCATTGGAAGTCCTTTGTTGACTTTCCTGGATTGCCAACCCCTTCAATTGGATCTATGGCTAACACTTCAAATCGATTGCTTGCAGAGGAGCTTAATTACAATTGTGCTGAGCTGCAGTCTCAATTTGGTGTCATGTGTTCGCAACTCAATATTGAACAAAAGGCAGCATATGATGAGATATTGGATTCAGTATATGGTGATAAGCGATGTTGTTTCTTTGTTGATGGGTTTGGTGGGACGGGCAAAACATTTTTATGGAAAGTAATTTGTTTGAAGTTACGATCAGAGGGTAAGATTGTGCTATGTGTTGCCTCATCAGGTATTGCTGCATTATTAATGTCAGGTGGAAGAACAACTCATTCAAGATTCAACATTCCAGTGGATATTCACTCCAAGTCAACATGTCATATTCAACAAGGTAGTGATTTGGCTGAAGTACTTCAGAGGTGTTCTTTGATTATTTGGGATGAAGCTCCCATGTCCCATAAACACTGCGTTGAGGTTGTGGACAGAACTCTAAGGGATATTTTACGTGTAAAATATCCTAATTCTGAAAACTTGCCTTTTGGTGGAATGACTGTTGTTCTTGGAGGAGATTTTCGTCAAACATTGCCGGCAATAGTCAAAGGTACACGCTCTGATGTTGTTAATTCTTCTATCAAGAAATCAAAACTGTGGCATTATTTCAGAGTGTTGAGGTTAAAGAAGAATATGCGTTTGGTGAGAGATGGTTGCTCAGCTGATGAGGGTCGGGAGATTGCAGAGTTTAGCAAATGGATCCTTACTATTGGTGATGGTGAAGGGTCAAATGTTTTTGGTGAGTCCATCATTTCTATTCCTAAGGAACTATCTGTTGAACGCAAGGTTGATCACATTTCAGACATTGTTGCTGAGGTCTACGGAGGGTTATCAACTCATTACTGTGAGTCAAGCTACTTTGATGGCCGTGCTATCTTAGCTCCACATCATGACATGGTTTCTGCATTAAACCATTATGTCCTTGAGCAATATCCTGGTGAAGTCATGAGTCATGACATACTTTAGTTCTGATTCTATTGATATGGATCCTGGGAACCAAAATGTCATTGATTCTGATTACCCGACCGAATTTTTAAACTCATTGAAGATTGGAAATTTTCCTGAACATGAGTTGAAGTTTAAGTTGGGATGTCTAGTTATTCTATTAAGGAAAATTGACCAAAGTCGTGGATTATGTAATGGGACTAGACTAATTGTGAAGACATTGGGGACATGGTTCATCAAATTAGAGATTATTTCGGGGTCACAGACTGGTGACAGTTTTTTTTTTTTTTTTGCCAAGAATGACTTTAACCGACCCATATAAAAGTTTGAATTTCACATTGTTCCGCAGACAATACCCCATTGCTTTGTGCTTTGCAATGACGATAGATAAGAGCCAGGGTCAAACATTACAGAATGTGGGTTTATGTCTTCAAAAGCAAGTCTTCTCACATGGTCAATTATATGTTGCATTGTCCCGTGTTACAACAAAACGCGGAATCAAGTTTTTGAGCTGCGATGCTTATGGAGCTGGAGTGAAGAGCATGCAGAACATTGTTTATCGAGAGATTTTTTATTGATTTTTGAACTATTATTAGTTTGTACTTTTACTGGATGATTTTGTTGAGATGGCACACGTTTGCTTTGTTATTATGTGGATGTTGATAAAACACTAGAAAGAAAACAAAAAACTATGTTTTGTAGTCTCTTCCTCGCCATATAGACAGGAAGCTACTGATGATAGCCAATAGTGGGAATAGAAGGCCATCTGTGAGTTTAAATTAGTACCCCTTTGTTTCTGTGTGCCAGTAGGTTCTCTTCAACTCTTATTTTTTTTTTTTCTTCTATTGTTTTGTTATAGCTTGATTATTAGTTGGTTTGTCCTAACCAAGGTTCTGAAACCGGTTTATTCCAGTGTGCCGGTTTAGCAAGTAGAATGGTTCAATCGGTGACACATATCGGTTTTGTGCCGGTTCATGCTGGTCAATATTACAAATAAAATTATAAATAATCATATTTAGACATGACATTTAATGTCAATACCTAAACATCTATACTTGAATCCAACAAATAATATCAATATTTAACTTTTATACTCATAAAATAAATAATAAAATAATATTTAACAATTAAATTTAGGGCTAATACCACTGGGAAACCCGAACTATTAACTTTGTGCCATTTGTGTCCTAAAGTATTCGATATGACAATTGTGTCCCAAACTATTTTTCCGTTAGAGTTGACCAATGTTGACCGTTAATTTTTAACAGAAAATCTAGTCAGCGCTGAGGTGGCATCTGAAGTGGAATTTATAATATTAATTTATAATTATTTTTCATATAAGAAAAGAAAATAAAAAATTACAAAAATAAAAAACATAAACATAAACATAAACTAATTGATTTGGGGGATTTACCCTTCCCAACCTCTACCGTGAATTGTAAATCTTCGTCATCATCCTCCCCCCATCGATGTTCTTCCCTCTCCTCCTCTGCAATCGCAGGCGTCTCTTCAACTCCCCCAGCTGATACCGATTGTGACCCAGGAAAAATCCACTAACCCACGAAGTAGAGTGTCGTAATCGACACAACAGCGGCTAGATTTCAATCACTTCCCTCACCGCCGTCGTCATGAGATTCCGCCTTCGTAAACCCGTCCCCGTCACCAGATCCATAAATCGATTGGTGTCGAATGAGGCATAGAAGAAGCAAGGTCAGTGAGTTGGGTTCGGATTGTGTTTTCTGGGTGGCTAGAAGTGAGCGAGATCGAAGCAGGGGAAAAAGAAAGGGAAAAAAGCCGGGGGAGGGGACAGATCTCGGAGAAAAGATGAGAAGCAGATCAATCCTTCTTTTGCGCCCTGAGAATGTTGATGATCCGGTCGATTGATTTGGACGCCTTTGTTCTTCTCTGTTCTTCTCTCCGGCCACACTTCGACCGCTCCTCTTGCCAATTCCAACCTCGATTCCCTCTCCCGCCTTGCCAAGCTCGCCGCCAGCTCGCCGAATCCAGCACCCTCTGCGCTGTCCTCAATTGCATCACCTCCCCCGCTGATATGGGGAGCAGTAGCGTCGCGTCGGAGGAGACGGGATAGAGAACTTCCCGCACACCTGGATCTGTTCCCGCACCTTGTCCATCTCGTGCTCGATGACCAGCTGGTGCGACGGGATAGAGAACTTCTCGATTCCATCTGCGGCGGCCCTGGTGACAATGTCGGTGGTGGAGGCGACATCGGACTGCTGGATTTGGAGGTAAGGCGACGGGGAGGCGATGAATTGATTGTTTGACAGCGGCGGGCGGGGATTGATTGTTCGACAGTGGCGGCCGGAGAATTTTTTATTGCATTGATTTTTTTTTTCAATTTTAGTAGTTATTTAATTGTTCGGATTGATTCCTTGGGTGAGTTTATTTTTTTTTAATTTTTAGTTTTTTCAATTTTAATATTTATTTAATTTTTAATTAAAAATATGATGTGTCAATGAAATGGCATCTACGTGGCTGCCATGTGTTTGCCACGTCAGCAAAAGCCAACATCAAGTTGACCACCGTCTGGTCAACCGTTATATATAACGGTCAACAAAATCGTCAGAACATAAATGACACAAAACTATAATAGTTTGGGACACAATTGTCATATCGAATACTTTAGGACACAAATGGCACAAAGTTAATAGTTCGGGTTTCCTAGTGGTATTAGCCCTTAAATTTACTAAAATAAGGTCATTTTACCTAGAGATTCGTATATCGATCATGCCGGTCATACCGGTGGTGTCACGCAATTTTATGACCGATACCGGTTGAACCAGGTACAACCGGTGGCATGCCGGCCGGCGAGACAACCATAATCCTAACCTTTATCTTTGAAAAACTGATGGAGGATTAAAAAGTGTAAGTAATGATTCAGATTAACAAAAAAAAATTAGTTTATGAGATTTTATAATAATTATTAATTTATTATATTTAAAAATGGACTTGCTCCCAAAGTTATCACAATCGCTTCTGTTCTCCAAATTCTAATTGTGAGTGAGTTGATTTTATTTGAAAATTATCCACGTCATAATTTCATGGGCTGGGCATGTGTCAAGATTAGAAAGCCAAAATTGGATTCTGTAGGGAAAATGAGGCGTGGGTGGCAGTTAATCCCCACTAACCCCTACTTTTAAGCTTCACTCTACCTCATTTTCTTTCATGTATAAAAGCATACTTCTGCCACATTTATTTGCTCCTACGACCTCCCTGCTCGAGTGTTCTGATCAAAGTAAAAACCTTGCCATTCCTTCTACGATAACCCCTGCTCAAAGACATGCCTCTTCGTGCATTAGTTGACTTGGGTATTGAAGATGTTGACTATGGAGTTCATGTTAGAGTTCTGCGCAAATGGATTGTGAAGAACAGAGGCACCAAAGAAGATGTTTTTGTTAACATGATCATTCTTGATGCTTTGGTACGTGTTGCTCTTCCTACTTCATTTGTCCTTCTTCCTCTAATGATGCTGCCACTGAATGCACATTTGGTTTTAATTTATCCAGGGATATCAAATGGAAATTGTTATTCATAAGATCTTGATCCCAAGGTTTGCTCCACTCATTAAGGAAGGCAGCGTGTACTATTTCGGTCAGTTCTGTGTTCATAGGAACACTTCTAGCTTCCATGTAACTGCACCGAAGTTTCGTATCGTGCTCCTCCCTGATTCGGTCAGTAAAGAATTGGTGGATTGTGCTGACACTCCAAAGTTCAGCTTTCATTTTCTGGAAACAGGCGGTTTTAAGGATGCATTTGAGGACCAAGACTTCTTATTTGGTTTCTAATTTTCCGTCGCTGATCTCATCATTATTTAAGTTTGTTTCATACTTTTGATTCCATTAGCAATTTACTTTTCTTTGGTACAGATTTAGCTAGAAAAATGGTGCAATGTGAGACTACAGAACTCCTAAGTGATGAGATGGCTTCTATAAAAAAGAAGAATATCCAAATTCGCCTAATTGAGTACGCTTTCGGTCTAATTTGTCACAACCACTTGATTGTGTATTGTCGCCACAAAAATATTGATCGTTGGATGTATTTTGTTGCGGTAGTGGTGAAATTGTTAAGGTGATTTTGTGGGACTCATTGGTCGACCAGCTTGACAATTTCCTTTCCACTGAATCTGAAATTGGGACAATGCTCACAATCACTTCTGTTTATGTGCATAAGTACCATGGTTAGTTGCCTTTCAGTTTAATAATCAATAGAAAAATGTCCTCTACCCTTTTATTCAAATACTAATGTTGTTTATTTGCAGGAGAGTACTTTTTTTCCTCCTCATGTGCCTCTAAGATGCACTGCAATCTGCACTATCCTCCTGGCCATGCTTTGCTCGATTTGTATGCCACAGCTCTTTATGAGTTTATTTAGTTTCCTTTAGCATGATGATAGAACTTCATTGATTTTCATATTGGACTGAATTTGCAGCAGTAGCAGTAGTGGTGTTCCTCGCAGTGATGGTGAAATCTACCAGAGTCTGATCGTACCAAGTTCTGTCAAATCAATGGAAGCTTTGAATGCTGCTGGTCCCATTAAGGTATAGGCAAACCATTTTTACCCTTATTTACTAATGACCATTTTGGATTATGTGAAGAAATTTGGTTAACTTTATGCGCTGACCCCATTTTCCAATTTTTTCCAGGGACTGACTTTCAAAATACAAGCAGAGGTCACAGAAGTGAATGCTTATTGGTCTGATCGACAAGAAGCTTTTATAGTTCAGCTTCTGGTGAAAGATGGCAACGATGGTTGTGCTTTAATCTTCAAAAGTAATGTCTTTTGGTCAATCACAGACTCAAATTTTGAGAGTGCAGCTCAGTTTCAGAGGTCAAGTTTCGAGGTCAACCTGAAGTCCTTCAGGGGCAAGATGTTTCAGTTCCTGGTGAAAGCTGTGCCTCACTTTTATAAACCTGGAGGAGTGCACTTTGAGGTTGTGAAAATCTTCAGTGGCTGAAAGAACAACAAGAAATTAGTTCCAGTCCTATTGTAAATAGTCTTCTTTTCTGCCCTTTGTCTTGATATTGTCATGCTTTATTTAAAAAAACAGTTAGTTTGAGATGGTAACTATTGCTCATTTCAGTGATTTGGTGAGTCGTTGTTGACTTTCTCTTGGTCATAATTTCAGTTTCATTGAGTTGGATTTGGTTTGGATAGTGAACCAATGTTGATCATCATTCTATACGTTTCTTCAAGGCCATACTTGGCGTTTTACACTTCTCAACTTTCTTTTCTATATTGTGAATAATTGTTGGACTTTATTTGGTCTCGGTTGTGTATGGCATTGTCATGCCTTTCTTAACATTCAGCCCAATCAAAATAAGGCCCAATATTAAGAGCCGTACAAACATACCTGCTTCTGCAATGAACTTTCAAACGATTCCAGGAAGATTGGAACAGCTTGATGCTGAGACTGAAATTGGCCGCACTTTTAAGTTTTTATAGATCAAATGTTGCTGAAATGAATGTATCCACAAGAACTGAAGGCCAAACTTTTAATTGGAGAAGAACTGATTTTGTTTTCCAGCCCATACCTTAGAGATTCGTTTTTCTTTCATTACAAAATAGCAACAATTTGGGCCTGATTGAGCCCGTATGAAATTTGTGCCCAATTGGCTTTTCCATATTCTTTAACAATCGAAGCTAGGGTTTTTTTACTGTCTCCATCTCCACCTGGCCGCACTTTTCAGTTTTTATAGATCAAATGTTGTTGAAATGAATGTATCCACAAGAACTGAAGGCCAAACTTTTAATTAGAGAAGAACTGATTTTGTTTTCCATCCCATACCTTAGAGATTTGTTTTTCTTTCATTACAAAATAGCAACAATTTGGGCCTGATTGAGCCCGTATGAAATTTGTGCCCAATTGGCTTTTCCATATTTTTTAACAATCGAAGCTAGGGTTTTTTTACTGTCTCCATCTCCACCTGGATTTTGTGTCGGCAGCCTTAGAGACAAGATTATTCCCTCAATTCCAATCTACAGCAAACTATGGCGGCTACTGAAGTTAGCCGATTAGGGGTGCAACCACGCTGATTCTCTGATTCCGCTAAATTCCAGTGTGTTTGGTATGGATCGTGGAATTTCAATGAGTTCCCTAGCTATCTCATTCCTCGGCGATTTTCTGAGTATCATTTAGCCATTTTGCGCGGCCGTTGTGGCGGTCTTTGTCAAGCCATCGTGGAAGTTCTCTGATTCTCTGATTCGGCTGCTCGCACGAAGAAACAAGCATCAGGAGGTGCAGCTTCCGATTTGTCGGTGCCGGGAACATGGGTCTTGCGATTATCGGAGCTCCAGCCAGCAAATCCAAAGTTTTCGGTTTGCCAAAAACGTGGGTAAGCATATATTCATGTAAATCAACTATCGTCGTTGCTCGCACTCTACTAACCTGGTGGAGGACGGTTAATAGCTTATTCCAAATTAACACGATCTGCTCAACTGCCACCAGGTCAACCTTGATGTGCCGACTAACCTGGCTCTTGCGGTTACCTTGCTGGAGCCTATAAATACTGCCGTGCTATGACGTCAAAATATTTTCGCACTTACGCCCTTATCAGTTAGCAAAGCAGGATGGCGCCGCAGTTGATGAAGGATTTAGCAACTCATTCTCAAAAATGGATCATTCAATGCCGTGTCTCTCCGAAGTGGATCGCAACTAACTGCAACACAGGAAAAGTACTGCATTTGGACATGGTGCTCATCGATTCCGAGGTAAACTTCTAACTTTGCTTACAAAGAGAATCCTCAATGTTATTAATGCTGGGACTTACTTTTATTTCTTTACATATTAGGGATCAGACATTTGGGCAACGATTCCTCCACTATTGATTCCAAAATTTGAATCCAGTTTGATAGAACAAGAAGTGTATGAGATTAGGCATTTCAAGGTTGCTATGACGAAGAACACATTTAGGCTTGTTCCTAATCATCTGATGATTGAGTTTGATGCTGTCACTTTAGTCCAACATATCAAAACAGTGTCGCCCATACTTACTTATAAGTGCTACTTTCTCAATCATGCTGCTATGATGAAAAGGCTGTATGATAAGAAGAACCTTTCAGGTAGAGTGTTCCTTCTGTTGTTCTTCATTGCCAATTCATGTGCAGTTTAATATTAACAACAACATTTTGTTTCAGATGCAATTGGTCAATTGATTGACCATTCCAGCCTAACCTCTAGGACCTCTGCTACAAAACGCTGGAAGGAGATCACAATAAAACTCATTGAGTTAGATCTAAAAGCCTCTTTGCAATTTAAATTCATTTTGGATTGTTAACCTGATCTATGACTTTGTTACTTTGCTTTGATCCTTGGTAATATTGATGTTAGAGGGGAGATGGTGAAAGTCACTTTGTGGGGAAGTATTGGCAAGCAATTAGAAGACATCATCTCTCGCAATGAAAGGACAGCTGTCATTCTGACCATTACCTCTGTGTTTGTGGATGAATTTAAAGGTTCTGAACAGACAAGCTTATTTAGTTCCTTTTGAATTGCAATTTTTAAATTGATTCTAACTGTCTTATTTGTTTTTTTTTCTACAAGGGGAAATCTGTTTGTCATCAACAGGAGCAACTCAGTTGAAGGCCAACTTGGATATTCCAAAAGTGCTTGAGTTTAATGCAAAGTATGTGTGGTCTCCTGTACTTGAGTGCTTTTAGCTGAAGTTTACTTCGGCTTCCCATTAAGTCCATTCATTGTGAAAATGCAAGAATGAACTTGTTGTTGTTATTACTTCTGTTTTCTTGGATTCCTTCTATTTGTAGTTAGTTGCTTGCGTGAATCTAGGGTCTTGACATTTGCTTCCTAAAACAAGTTATGGATCTGCATTTTCATGTGTTTCTAGGGACACAAATCTGGCAGCACCAGTGCTGCTTGCTGAAGTCCCAGCTGTCGAGATTCCAAAATTTTTGCTAGCTCAACTAAATGAGTTCAAAAGCAATGAAGCACAGAGTGTATGATTTTTTTTTCTATAGAAATGTTTTCATTTCAGAACCTTCTTTTTTTACATAGCACCAAGTTTTTGTTTATGTTTTGAATGCATTTCAGGACAAACTATTTTCGGTTGAAGGAAAGGTGACTCAAGTGCGTCCTAATTGGTGTTACATGGGATGTGTTGCATGGCCGCGGAAGGTGGAGGAGGATCTGGAGGAGTATTTTTGTGGCCACTGTAAGACAACATCTTCCATTGCTAAAGCAAAGTAAGATGATCAACTATTTTCTTGCTTTCTACATTCTCCATTCTAGACGTTTTATTGTCTGAGTTTGATATCAAAGTAATATGTTACACCAAAATTATAATGAGGTATGGGAGTGTATGATTTTGTTTATCTTTTTTCCATGATCACTGTAGGTATAGAGTTAAATTCCAGCTGGAAGATAATACTGGAGAGGCTGATTTTGCCATCTTGGAGCATGAAGGGCTGCGCTTTTTTGGAGTAATGGCTGATGAGTTATTCCAATTAAACCAGAGGAACAAAGAACCTCTTCCGCCCCAGATTCATCAGATTGTGAACATGACACTGAAGCTAACTGTTAAACTAACTGAGTTTAACATCATGAACCCACAAACTGAGATCTCTGTAGTTAGCATTGATCATGATCCTCTTCAGGTAAATGAACTTGCAGCTCCAGATAAGTTTGCTTTTCTTACAGCCTACCAAGTTAAGTTTATAGCTTTAACCTGCCTTCTTTTGTCTACCACGTAACTTGCAGCAACTCAACAAGGATCCATGTTCAAAGGATCTTGGAGGAGCAACCTCAGTTGGACAGAAAATGGAAGCTGCTCTTGATTGTGAGGCTGACGATGAGAAGTAGTGGCGTTGCAGACTTGCTCCACCTAATAACCACCATATCATGCATTCTGATTAGTATTATTGTTTCGTCTATGGGATGTTCAGTTTTAGCTTTTCATTCAGATCCCTGTTGAAACTCAGGTTATAGGTTATTTCTCATATGAATTATTCTCTTATGTTTAGTATGAATTGCAAACAATATTATGGTTCTTTGCCTTTAATGCTTTTCTATCCGTTGGACAGTTTTATGTCTATGGATTCTCTTTTTTGTTGAATCAACTTTGCATCATAACTGTCAATGCCAGCTGAACCTTAGTTGAGTGAGTTTCGGCTATTGTCAGGGATTACTCCTTTTGTAAGATAAACAGGTTGTTTGTGTCATTCGTGAGTTCTTGCTGTCAAAATTTGCTGCATTGTTAACATTTCTGATTGCTTCTCTTTACTTTCATTTCTTTTTGTTGATTATGTTTGCTATATTATCCTGATTTTCAGATTCTGTTTGCTGTCCATTTTTTCATTGATTCTGTTTGCTGCAGTACTCTGATTTGTGATTGTGTTTGCTGCATTTTTTCTGATAATCTGATTGTGTTTGTTGTCCATTTTGTGATTGATTATGTTTGCTGCATTATTCTGTTTTTTGCATATGGTTTGCTGCATTTTCAGATTTCAGATGGTGTTTGTTGTCCATTTTTTTATTGATTTTCTTTGCTGCATTATTCTGCCTTCTTAATTAAATGAGTCTACTGCATCCTTGCTAGCACTTTGTAGAGTTGAATTGTTACTCTAATTGTAGATGAACCATTAAAAAGCATAGTCTTTAACAGACAATTTGCAGCAATGGTGGCTTTTACATTGATTAGCAGACTCGGGTTTTTATGAAATTCTCTGTCTTATTGCCTTTTTTTTTTCCCTTCAAAACCACCCTTAAAGACTCATGTTGGAACAATAGGTGAGCTTACTCCTTTTTAAAAAGGTTTTTTTATCAGACTGTACACTACTATGTATGTGTTTGGCTTTTTCATGTTGACATTGAATTTGTTTCATCAAGATTTTGGATCACATGAATTTTAGTGGCAGATTATACTTTTCAGATCTCATTGTGTTCCTCAATTTTCACAAACAAACCCGGCCAACGGGCCGGGCCCAATGCTAGTATATATAAGAAAATGATGTATCATTTAGTATCTTCTTATTATTTGTATGAGTTGCACATAGTCGTAAAAGATATTTCTTGGCCACCTCCACTAAATTTATAATTTTCACTTATCAAAATCTAAAAGGTAATACTAATAATGAGATACAAATTTTCGATAGGATAAGTTGATGTATAAAATGTTGTTCGTTAGTTCTTTTCTCATCAAAATTTCAAATTACATGATTTCTTTAATTGTGCATTGATCGACTGATGGGTCAAATTATAGTTTATATTGAGTGCATAATTGTAAATTTAGTTAGACAAAGGTATGCGCCTTTTCATTACTAATATTGCATCTAGGGATGAGAACTACCGTCCATGAATAATTTTATCCAAATTTATGTAAACATTAATCATAGATAAGATATGAGTGAAATCTCTTACTTTTGTTTTCATTGTTGGTAATTAGTAGTGTACTTATATTTTGTGCAACATATGATTGAAGAAAGTCAATCAATCCCAGTGACTCTACTATGTGGAAGAAAGAAACGCAAAACTAAAGGGTTAATTGCATGGTTGGTCACTGAGATTACAAAAAATGTTTAAGTTTGGTCACTCGAAATATTTAAATTCATTGATGGTATTTCAGTTTACTAAAATCGTTCACGTTTGGTCACTCTCCGTCCAACTCCATTAACTTTAGTTGATGTGACAGTCAACTGTAAATTTAGTTAGACAAAGGTATGCGCCTTTTCATTACTAATATTGCATCTAGGGATGAGAACTACCCGTCCATGAATAATTTTATCCAAATTTATGTAAACATTAATCATAGATAAGATATGAGTGAAATCTCTTACTTTTGTTTTCATTGTTGGTAATTAGTAGTGTACTTGTATTTTGTGCAACATATGATTGAAGAAAGTCAATCAAACCCAGTGACTCTGCTAGGTGGAAGAAAGAAACACAAAACTAAAGGGTTAATTGCATGGTTGGTCACTGAGATTACAAAAAATGTTCAAGTTTGGTCACTCGAAATATTTAAATTCATTGATGGTATTTCAGTTTACTAAAATCATTCACGTTTGGTCACTCTCCGTCCAACTCCGTTAACTTTGGCTGATGTGGCAGTCAACTCTCAAAGTTGACCGTTAACTTAGTGACTTGGCAACTAGAAAATTATTAAAAATAAAAAAATAACTTTTATATTTTTCCACCTCATTATTACATTTATTAAAAAAATAAAAAACCTAATTTTTTTCTACAAACCTCCCATACCCTACCCGATCCAACTATCAAAATCAAACTAAACGAACAAGAACACCGAGTTTAACGTGGTTTCCCTGATCAACAGGACTAGTCCACGGGAGGGCAGGCTCTCCAAGTCAATCTTATTATTCTCGTTACCCAGCATACACGGATTACATTCATATATATAGAGGTTTACTTAACCCTAATAACTAAGGACTTATATGTACAATTACATTAAGGTACTTATATTTTCAACACCAACCTCCACCGCCGCCGCGGAATCCGACCACCGTAGCAACACTCCGCACCACCACCACCACTCGACTCCGACTCCTGCTCCATCCCCGTCCCTGGCGCCGACTTCAATCGTCCACCCAGAAGAAGGTTGAACTAGAAGCCTACTCTCTTGCTGCTACAGCTCTCTCCCTCTGTTTCATCAGAATGGGTATGGCTGTCGCCGAAGCTCGTCATCTTGCTTATGACCACCAGTTCCATGTTCTTGCTGTTGATGACAGTATCATCGACAGAAAGTTGATTTAGAGGCGCCTCAAGACCTCCTCCTACCATAGTACGCACACTAACTAACCATTTTCCTCTCCTTTCAAAATCTAATGATTGATGAAAAACTGTCTGACCAATAGTTTTTGTCGAAAAATTTGATAGTGACGGCAGTTGATTATGGGAGCAAGGCACTGGAGTTTCTTGGGCTGAACCACAACAACAGTAGTGAAGATGGGGAGGAGAGTTCACACGATGACATTAGTTTGATCATTACCGATTACTGTATGCCTGGAATGAGCGACTACGACCTCCTCATAAGAATCAAGGACTTCGAGTCTTTCAAGGACACTTCTGTTTAGAGGTGGCCAGTGGCGGATTCAGGAAATTTTTATAGGGGTGTCCTATTTCAAAAATTAAATTTAATTAAAAATTAAATTAAATAATTCATAAATCAAGAAATATCCGACTAGTGCAAATTTGAACCAAAGACCACGTCGTGTTTTCATATTATGAAAAAGAATATAAAATAGACTCGATGTCTACATTGATCACCAAATCTGTATACTCTATTAGACAATAATTCACGAACTGATCGCATATTCGATTTCTAACCTTGTTCCTGATGTAACTCAAACTTGAAAGTCTCTTTCAACTATGGCGATGTAACTATAAAATCATTTAAAAATAACTCGAATGAGTTTAATTGTTAGGTTTTGAAAATAGTTGAGAATAAAGATAGTGTTTTTACTATTACATAATATTTAAAATAGAACAACAAATGAGTTGCAACTAGGGATATGTTTAATAATAGTAGTCTCCTAGGTTTGATTAAGACAGAGTACCACTTATATATTTTAAGGGTTATAGGTATAATATGCCTCTCTACTATGACGTTTTATCAAACATGCCCCTCTACTATTTTTTACATCAAACATGCCCCTGTACTTTGTAAAAATGATCAAACATGCCCTTTTGTTAAAATTTTCATCCAAAAACCGTTAACCAAGGCCGAACTTTAGTTTGGGCGACAAAAATGACTAAAATATCCCTAATAAATTCACTTTAGAATTTTTTTGGTTCTTTTGTATAATCAAATCATTCAAATAATTTCACTTTGAAAAGACCCAGGGAAATAAAACACGGGATAAAACTGACATTTTCCCTCCCATTTGCCGATGTTGGGTCGTCTAAATCTCAATTCAACCATGATTGACGATTTTTTTAATGGAAATTTTAACAGAAGGGCATGTTTGATAATTGTTTCAAAGTACAGGGGCATATTTGATGTAAAAAATAGTAGAGAGGTATGTTTGATAAAACGTCATAGTAGAGGGGCATATTATACCTATAACCCTATTTTTAATCATACGCAAACTACTACCGCTGACAGGATAATCATTTTTCCAAAATTTAAGGATATCCCGGATTACCAATTATAATTTTTTTATCCATACCAACCTACTATCGGGGGTTGAATAATCGTTTTCCCAAATTTTAGGGGTGTCCCGGGACACCCCTAAAGGTGCATGTATCCGCCACTGGAGGTGGCAATTGGATCGGATTCGTGGATTGGATTGGTGGATCCATGGATCAAATGGATTGGATCCATTAGATTGGTGGATTCATGGATTGGATCCAATGGATTGATCCATGAATCCAAATGACATCCAAGGCTTGGACCAAAATGTAAATTTTGAAAAGTTTAGGCACTAAAATGTCTTAATAAAAAATTTTAGGTACCAAAATGTAAAATATAAAAAATATAGGTACTAAATCATAATTTGTCATTTGGATCCATGGATTGATCCATGAATCCACCAATCCAATTGGATTTGAATCAAATGAATGGAATTTAAATGGATTGGATTAGGTGGATGAATTGGATTCATGGATTTGGATCCTAATTGCCACCTCTACTCACGTTATCATCATGTCTTCGGAGAATGTACCCTCTAGAATCAACACCTGCCTTCAACAAGGAGCTCAAGACTTCTTCCTCAAGCCGCTTCAATCGTCAGATGTCACCAAGGCTTCAAATTTACAAATGGAAACAGGTCCCCAAGGCACCATCCTCTTCTTTACCGTAGGCTGCAACGAGTACGACTTCGACGTCTTCTCCCGCCAGCTCCTTCCTT